TATATATATACATTGATGAAACTCAGTGTTATATAAAAATTTTTGGTTGAGTGATTTTCTACTCATTTATATATATATATATATATATATATATATATATATATATATATATATATATATATATATATATATATATATATATATATATATATATATATATATATATATATATATATATTATATATATATATATATTAATATATATATATATTAATATATATATATATATATATACATATATATATATATATACATATATATATATATACATATATATATATATATATACATATATATATATATATACATATATATACATATATACACATATGCATATATATATATATATATATATATATATATATATATATATATATATATATATATATATATATATATATATATATATATATATATGTAATTATTTTTCACACACACAAAATAGTTGCACCCAAGTATAAAAATGACACTGAACTTTCTAAAGAAATATAAAATAATTTTGGCAAGTATCACAACGATGATCTTGCTATTTTTGAAAACAAAAGCGGCTAACAAATAGAAAAAATCAAAAAGCATTTTTCTGCATATTTTTAAAAGTAACAATCTACTGGTCTTCATCCAATGTAATATTAAAATTGTCAATTATCTTGATGTAACATTAAACCTGATTGACAATTCTTATCGACCGTATTCTTAACCTAACAACCAACTTAATTATGTTCATTCTGATTCAAACCATCCACCTAATAAATATTGTTCTATTATTTAATACTATTGAGCACTTATATAATACTATTATTATACCATAATAATATCATAATATTCTTTTTATGTATAAATTTGCTCCAACAAGTTGAGCACTCTATTCACGTTGTCAACAAAATAGAAAAAATAAACTTGAAATATTCCAATACATCAAAAAATACTGATTCATCAAAAAAGTACTTAATTAAAACTAAAGAAAACAGAATTGCTTATAAAGTAAATGAGATGAAGGGCATTCTTTTTCATAAACAACTAACCAAGAAATGATTCAAATTATACAGACTACGGAATCAAATCATCAAAATGCCCACCACAAATAAATCAAATGCATTCTTTCGAAAAAGATCTTATAAATTTAGTAAAATCAATAAAATTTTGTAACGTAAATTATGTACATTGCATAAAACATAAATAAAGGCAGACAAAATATCTAATTTGTATAATCTAAAGATGATTACAACAAACTAACACAATTACTTCTACCTACAAAATCAATGCCAGAATTAAAAGATTAAATAAATAAGGAAAAACCTTTTAACCCACTATGAACTGTATAACAATATTGAGAAAAACAGATTGTCCAGGTGTTTTTTCACTTCGAAAGACCATGAGGAAAATTTTATAAACAACCCTTTAGTTTGCCTTTTAAATTCATCAAAAAATGAGGTAGGAAGAATTAGTTAAGTCATTTTATCTAAAATTATTCATGAATTAAAAAATAAACTACAGTTTGAATCAATGGCAAAGCACCTATTTGTTATAGATTAGTATAAAAAAAATCTAAAATAAACACCTTTGCAAATTTCTAATTTTTGATATAAATGATTTTTACCCATCTATAAGTGAAAACACTCTTACCAATGCAATCAGTTTTGCCAAACAACATGTTATTATAAAAGATGACGATAAAAAATTAATATATCATGCAAGGAAATCTTTCATTTTTTAAAATGATGAAGCCTGGATAAAGAAAAGAGGCGGATTATTTGATATCACATTGGGAGCATTGGAGGTGGAGGTAAAGTTTGCAAACTAGTTGGTATTTTTATATAGTTTCAGCTCTCCGAATTATTAAAAAGTAATTTTAATAATTCGTGACAACGGGCTTGCTATTTTTGAAAACAAAAGCAGCCAACAAATGGAAAAAATCGAAAAGCATTTTACGCAGATTTTTAAAAGTGACAATCTACTTATCTCCATCCAATGTAAACAAAATCCCTCGATAATCTTAACTCAACTATTGAGTTAAGATTATGGAATAAATAATAAAGTAAATGAAGCTGTATTTAATAATTCCATTCTTCAATATGAAGAGGCTTTACGTAAATCAGGATACGATTCGAAACTCACCAACCAAAAAAAAAACAAAAAAAAAAAAACATTGCAAACATAAAACTACATGGTACAGCCCCCCCTTTAACAAAAATGTTGAAGCTAAAATTCAAAATTGCTTCTTAGCTTTATTTGATCTACACTTTCTAGTAGGACACAGACTTCATAAGGTTTTTAACCGAAACTATATTTAAGTTAGCTATAGTTGCATGTCTATTGTCAAGTCTTTAATAAACCCACATAACAACAAGATTTTACAACGCGATAAAAAATATAACACCAAAACAATGCAACTGCATAGACAAAAAAATTTGTTCATTAAATAACTAAAGCCTTTCTAACAATATTTTATAACAAGCCACTGTGAGTTCTGGAGATCCTGAATTCAAAAATAAAGTTTATTTCAGTATAAGTGAAATCGCATTTAAATTAAGATATGCCAACCATTTTAAATCTTTCAATGCATCGAACTATAAAAATGAAACTGAACTTTCTAAAGAAATATGGAAACTAATATCTAAAAATATAAATCCTGTGATTACATGAAAGATAATAGCACCATGTAAGCCCTACAATCAAGCATCAAAAGTTTGTAATCTTTGTCTCCGCAAGAAATTTCATATATTATGCAAAGGAGAAAATTTACTTGATAAAAGATAGTATCAAATAATATCAAAGTGCTGGCATTCAAAAAATTTTAATTTTCTTATTCGACATTATGGATTAAAATCTTTAACATCTTTTTGTTTTGTTTTGTTTTTGTAACATCAGAACTCGTTCCACCATAATTGTAATTTGTATTTTTTAAACGGTTTTTAAACAAATTATACACAATGGTTGATGATTGCCGAAAGGCTTAAAATTCAGAGTTCCTTTAAAAGTTGTTTTTATTCATTTTATATAAATACATATATATATATATATATATATATATATATACATATATATATATATATATATATATATATATATATATATATATATATATATATATATATATATATATATACACACACACACAAAGGCGCATTTCCTATAAGGAAAATCTAGGCAACTGCTTAGGGGCGCTGACCAAAAAGGGGTGCTCCTAAACCTATATCAAATAATCATAATTAATTGTCAATTTATTTGAACTTTTTTTAAACTGTTTCTATAATAAGTTAAAAATAAAAAGACTTAACAATAATAGTTTTGAGTGTCTTTAAATGAAATTATAAAGAACCAATAAAGTATTGTGTAGTTTTAGGGGGTTTTTATTGCTTATTTTCTAGCCTTTTAAAAAGCTTTAAATTTGTTTTAAATTAAGTTTTTACAGTAGCATTGCAATAAAAAAAATGATGTTTTAGAGTAGGAAATAAATTAAATTTCTTTTAAAACATACATTTTCATTTAACTTTTACAAAAGCAGTTTAGTACCCCTATCATTAAAATTGTTTATAAACTATTTTTCTGCATGATTTTTTAACCAAAGTTATCTCATCTGACTTTCTAAAGTTCAGAGGAAAAAAAAGTCAGACAATAAATCGTCTATTGAATGTATTGATTTTGAAAAAAAATTAATAATCATCATTATTTACTGTAGATATGTATTGTTGGAGCGACTCAGAGCCAATGACACCGGGGTGGTCGAATGTCACGAGCCCCTCAATTTTTTTCTAAAAGACCTTTTTTTTTTTTAGAAATTTTTAGATATAAATAACTTTTTTTAGAAATTGGTGATTGAGCTCTTCCACTTCGAAACCCGTATTGTTGCTCCTGCGACTAAGTGCGATTTTCATGACTGCAAATTTACATAAGTGCAAACTAGCATACGTATGCAGGATGCAATATACAGTAATTTTTTTTCTTAATCAACAAATCTTTGCTTGATGTTAACTAGTGCTTTAAAAGGACGAACTATTAAAAATCTTTCTGATACAAGGTTTTTTTATCTGTATAATGGTTGTGAAGCGTTGAATAAAAATGGATGGAAATAATTAAAGCTTTAAAACAAATATCAGATGATACTGTATACAAATATCTTCTCAATGTAGAAGCCAAGAATAGAATATTAACAACCAATTGAGTCGTTGCAAATGTGCTTTTATGATGGCATTTCGGAAATCTATTTCAGAATGCTTTAATACTACTGATTTAAATTTACAATCAATAGAAATTGATTTGTCAGTTGTTATTTAAATTTACAATCAATAGAAATTGATTTGTCAGTTGTTATTTAAATTTACAATCAATAGAAATTGATTTGTCAGTTGTTATTTAAATTTATAATCAATAGAAATTGATTTGTCAGTTGTTATTAGGCAATACAATTGATCATCAATTGATTGAATTCATAGATTCAAAGTCAAATTTATATGAAAACTATGAATTTTAAGTCAAAGACCTATCGTTTATCAAAGAATTTAAAAGAAAATGAGGAAAGATACGAAAAATATTTCATGATGAAATTAATGAGTCAGAATCATATAGTAATTACATACTCACACACAGAAGATATCACACACAGAATCACATACTGAAAGAATCACACACAGAATCACATAATAATCACATGAAGTTATTTACAAAAACTTTTCATTTTTAGGCCATTTAATAAATTACCCACCTGATAAAATTTTGGAAAATAAAGTAAATTTATACTAAATGTACAACAACCATTTAGATAAATGTTTTATGGAAAAATGCTTAAGTTCATACTTGAAATAAAATAAACTTTTGGCGAATTCTATATTGTAGCTAAGAAACATTTTTGTGTACTCATTGAGCAAATTGCTCGACTGAACCTAGCTTTTCGTTGCTAAAAAGATTGAAATTGTATTTAAAATCTACTGTAAATCAACCAAATTTAAATAGTCTTATCTTTATTATCAATAAAAAGCGATTAAACTTTCAATATATATTACCTGATATCAAAATCTATTTCTGGAATAGTATTGATCTGATGATCTATAAAAAAAATTACAATGATTTCATACATAAAAAAAATTACAATGATTTCATACATAAAAAAAATTACAATGATTTCATACATAAAAAAAATTACAATGATTTCATACATAAAAAAAATTACAATGATTTCATACATAAAAAAAATTACAATGATTTCATACATAAAAAAAATTACAATGATTTCATACATAAAAAAAATTACAATGATTTCATACATAAAAAAAATTACAATGATTTCATACATAAAAAAAATTACAATGATTTCATACATAAAAAAAATTACAATGATTTCATACATAAAAAAAATTACAATGATTTCATACATAAAAAAAATTACAATGATTTCATACATAAATTCTTGTCATAAAAATAATAAAATATAACACATAATAAAAAAAAACTTAAAATGAATATTTGGTTTTTAAAAATTACAAAACAAATTTTAAACAAAATTCATCAAACTTCTAATTTTCTTCTGCTTTTAGAAACTAATATATGATACTAAGCTACCTTCAGGGGCTTGTGTATAGTACCAAACAACCTTCAGGAGCTGTCTGTATGTACCTGCCAAGCAGCCTTCAGGAGCTGTATGTATGCTACTTGGCTTTAATAAAAAGTCTGAGTCCACTTATTGTAATAAGTTAGTTGTTAAGATTTTTTTATCAGTCTGTTCAATCAATACTAATAATAAAACAAGAAATTTATAAAACAACTTTAATCTTTTAATTTGGCATTAATTATTATTCTAGAGACTTCAATCAATATTTTGATGAGAGAAAGATGTTTATTATATTAAATATGGTTGAAAAACAGTGAGAAAGTTTTAGCGAAAAATTCTAAAGTGAGATAAAGATCAAAGAAATATAATACAGATAGAAACAGACAAAACTCAGAATAAAATAGTTTTATAATATTTAAAAAATTTCTGAAAGAGTATTTTAGCATGAGTCTCAAAAGAAGTGCATTAAGATAAAAAAAAACTAATTAAAATTTTTTTTTTAATTTTGAAAACATCTAATTTGGTTTGGAAAACATCTAATATGGTTTCCTGTATAAACATGTATCTAATGTGGTTTCTCTATAAACTCTGGTTTACATAAGAACCCATCTATATTCTAAGTATACATTTAAGCTGAATTATTTAGACCAATATTATTTTTTTATATAAAATACATTGATGGGTGAAAACATTTGAAAATTGCTTTTTAACTACCACCCAAAGATAAAAACACACCTTAAGTCTAAAACAGGGTTCAAATTTTTAATTACCACCCTAAGATAGGGCTCATTATGTAACATTTTGACATAATCTATGTATGATTATATCAAAATGTTACATAATGAGCCCTGAAAACAGTTTTACATACTATGTTATATGTATGTAAAACTGTTTTCTCAGTACTCACAAGTGCATCATCAAGCCTGTTAACTTTTGTACGAAAAACTCAAATAAGCTATGATTTTACTTATTTTTTCATAGGTAACCATTGATACTCTTCTTTTTACCTTTTCTCATAGGTAAGAAAGAGAGTTTTTTATCTTTTATCATAGGTAAAAAAGATAGTTTTTTAACTTTTATCATAGCTAAGAAAGATAGTTTTTTATCTTTTCTCATAAGTAAGAAAGAGAGTTTTTTATCTTTTCTCATAGGTAAGAAAGAGAGTTTTTTATCTTTTATCATAGCTAAGAAAGATAGTTTTTTATCTTTTCTCATAGGTAAGAAAGAGAGTTTTTTATCTTTTCTCATAGGTAAGAAAGATAGTTTTTTATCTTTTCTCATAAGTAAGAAAGAGAGTTTTTTATCTTTTATCATAGGTAAGAAAGAGAGTTTTTTATCTTTTCTCATAAGTAAGAAAAATAGTTTTTTATCTTTTCTCATAGGTAAGAAAGAGAGTTTTTTATCTTTTCTCATAGGTAAGAAAGATAGTTTTTTATCTTTTCTCATAAGTAAGAAAGAGAGTTTTTTATCTTTTCTCATATGTAAGAAAGAGAGTTTTTTATCTTTTCTCATAAGTAAGAAAGAGAGTTTTTTATCTTTTATCATAGGTAAGAAAGAGAGTTTTTTATCTTTTCTCATAGCTAAGAAAGATAGTTTTTTATCTTTTCTCATAAGTAAGAAAAATAGTTTTTTATTTTTTCTCATAGGTAAGAAAGATAGTTTTTTATCTTTTCTCATAGGTAAGAAAGATAGTTTTTTTTACCTTTTCTCATAGGTAAGAAAGCAGTTTATGTACAACATTATTTAACAATGACGCATGTAAATCATGATCCTTGATTGCACAAGATAAAATCATTAAAACACACTGTAAAACTTATACCTTGAATAACAAAACTTCCACCAGAAAATGAAGCTTTGCTGTAAACATCTAAAATTTTATAATTTAAAAAATGCAACTACAGAAAAAAATGTTAATTTTTATAAACTATTAAAAAAAAACTTATTATCTATATATCTACATTATCTAATATAATATAGAATAAATTTATAAATAAAAATTAAATTAAATGTGGTTAAAAGTAATATTTTATACATTTTGATGGTTTATCTGCCAGTGAACTATTTTTTTCTGATTGATTAATTTTAAAAGATGATGATGAAATATGGCTGCATTGAGAATCCCTATAAATAAACATTATATATATATATATATATATATATATATATATATATATATATATATATATATATATATATATATTTATTAACACAAAAATAACAAATACAGTTATTTTTAAATGTTTTAAAACCTTTTTGGCGGAGGTTTTCGAATGATAGCATACAACCCATTTTCACTTGATATTGAGCATACCTATTTGATTAAAAAAATACTATTTATAAATGATTTTTTTTTAAGATTTGAAAAAATGTTAAACAAGTTTAAAATTTAAATTAAAAAACTGAAACCCTCTTTAGTTTATCATCTGACATAAAGAAATCTTCATCAAGACATCTTAGGTTAGTTGCAGGAGCCAATCCAACTCTTCCTTGATACCTTAAAAATGTAAATTAAACTTTTGAATAACACGTTTTTTCTATAATTCTTTACAACTTTTACAAAAAAACTATTTGGACATATTTATAATTTTGTAAAAGCTGACAAATATTCATACTTTGAAGATTTATGTGATAAAATGATGGCTAAAACTCATTTTTTTTGTTGATAATATCAAATATCTATGAAAAATCTTTAATCTGCTGATACATTGGAAAACTTAGGTGCTTCAGAATTTATTTTGAAAATAAAAAATGATTTACTATAGAAAACTGCTACTGTAATATTACAGAGGTGGCCATTAAACTAGCATAAACCAAAATACTGATTCTTTTTGACCTGTATGTTGAAAAACTGTCTTTAGCATACAACTATTATTAACGCTCTAAAGCTGCAGTGACAAGTTTTTGTTGGTTTTAATTGTTGCTATGGTTTTATGTTTATTTAAGAAAATTTTGAGAAAAAGTAAATTTTGTTAACATGGCCAAAAATTCACAAGTTACTATTGGTATTTACATGTATATTAACTACGAATTTACTTAATAAACTTTTCAAATTTTAATATCCTTAATATCACTTAAAATCATGTACTTTACTCACTCATATGTGTAATCATAATGTATTTTTTGTTCTTAAAGGTTCTCACTGTAGATAGGTAAAAGAAATTACGTTTCTCCAATAAAGTTGGCACGCATTGAGGTATATCTTAAGGATACAAACTACACATAGGAGATTCTCAGTAATTCTCTTCTTCACTCTGCTGACCAAGACTTTCCCAGTCTGTGGTCAGCAGAGTGAAGAAGAAAATCACTAAGGGCACATCATTATTTTCTACAAGAAGGAGTAATTGTGCAAGACCAAGAAAGACAACACCTTAATACAATCGTGAATTACTACGAGAAGTCAGAAGTAACAGAAAAGCGACATCAAAGCAGTTAGCCAAACAATTTGAGAAAGCTGGAGTAAAAATTAGTGATAGATCAATACGAAGACGCATTTTCAACAGTGGATATGTGGCAAGACAATCAAGAAAGAAGCAAAAGTTACCTAAAGTGATGATGAAGAAGCGGTATGAATGGGCAAAGCAACATCACGACTGTATGGAGGAAGACTGGGAGAAGGAAGCATTTAGCAATGAAAGTGCTTTTGTGTGGTGGATGATAGATCAATCTATGTGAGAAGGAGAGCAGATGAGGAGTTTCATCCAGACTGTATGGTTCAACTTGTCAAGCATCCAACATCTGTAATGTTCCGGAGTGTTATGTCAGTACATGGCTGTGGCCGTATCTACGTTGTGGAGAAAAAAATGAGACAGGACGAGTACAAGAAGGTGCTTTAGGAGAGATTGCTATTACAAATGAAGACATAGTAATCCAGAAAAGATGGCATCTTTATGTAGGATGATACCCCTTGCTACAAGGCAAGATCTCTCATGAAGTTTTAGTTGACAACAACGTGTTCTAGATTGGCCTGGCTATTCGCCTGACATGAACCTAATAGAGAATTTGTGGAATATCACCATATGTAAACTCAGCCAGTTAAAACCAACAATAAAGCAGCAGATAATTGAAGGAGTCATCAGTGTGCGGCACAGGGATGAAGACATGACTGCTTATTGTAAAAAACTAGTCTCAAGCATGCCAAAATATATTCACGAACTGCTTAAAGTAAAGGGTGGTTTTACCCATTATTAAGTATATTACAGAGGACAAAATTGACATCTAAAGTTTGACATCTAAAGGAGATGATTATTTTAAGTTATATTTTGACAAATGTTCTATTTCTTAAAGACAGGTCATTTTATTAATTGATAAAATTTATGTTAAACCACAGCCAACATTTCAAGATGGTGATATTTCTGGTAAATCTGTAAACTTTACAAATGAATTGACAACAGTTTTGGTTTCGGGTTTAATGGTTTGTTCTTTTTCCTCAACTAATTAAACACCAAAATGTGTTAACTTGTTTAAAAGTATTTTGTGATTAGACTGTAAAAAACACATCCTGCTTTAAAAAGTAGCTGCTTTAAAAACTCATTCATAAAAATGTTGAAATCGCTACAGTTTTTTTTTGTCTATTTTTTGTCTATTGTTTTCAACATTTTTAAAATTGTTAATTTTTAAAGGACTTTAAAAGATATTTGTACTAGAGAAGAAAATCGTGCTCTTTTTTCATCAAACAATGATAAACGATTAAATTTTCTTTTAAATATGATATGGTCAAGCTCCTTAAAAACAAGGTCATAAAATAAGCTCCTGAAAAACAAGGTCATAAAATAAAAAAATCAGTCAAAAATACTTCTCAGGCTTTTTCTTATATGTGTCATGAAATGATTGAACAAGTAAAATATTTACTAACTGAAAGTCATAAGTATGTTAGATAATGTAATTATATAATGCAAGATAATACTTTATTATATGTTTATAAATGGTAATGTGCTTGATGAGTCATCTACTCTTCATCTTCTAGGATTAACTCTTACTTCCAATCTTTCTTGAAAACCATATATCAAATACATTGCAAAATCTGCTTAGGCTGTATCTCTTTATCATGCTAACCATTTTCTTATTGTGGATTCATTTTTTATCTCTATAAATCTCAAATCCATCCTTGTATGAAATACTGTTGCCATATAAGGGGGGGGGGGGGAGGTTCTTCCAAGAATGCCCTTTCTTTGAGAAGGTGAAAAAGCACATTATAAACATAGTTGGACCTGCTCTTGCAGCTAACCTCCAACCATTATCACATTGTCATTGTGTTGCTTCTCTTTCTCTTTTCTATGAATAATGAGCACGGCTCTAAGGAGCTGACGTCTCTTGTGCCATTTACTAAATATTATTCTTGTGGTACTCATTTTTTTAAGTATTTGTGTATTATGGCTGTGTCTAAGTGCTCTTAAAATTCTTATTTGTTCAGTTTTTTTCCTTGAACATCAGTTCTTTGGAATTTGCTTCTTTCATCTTGTTTTCCTAATTCATATAACTTGCAAGTCGTCTGTCAATTGTTATCTTGCTCAATAAACTTTATCTTTTCTCTTCCAGTAACTTCCTACTTTAATAGTGGTTGCTTGCAGCTTTGTTTGAAGTGAAGATACAGAAAAAAAAAATGTTTACATTTGGTTATTAAAAGATTTTTATTTTTTTTATTTTATTTGGTTATTAAAAGATTAAAACATTTGGTTATTAAAAGCAATTTGTCTAATGAGATTAAAAAGTCTTTGGTTTACATTGTTGGTTATGTCAGTAGAAAAGATTCTCCAGTTGAAGATATATCGTTTTTTCTGGACCAATTTTGAGAATATGTTAGAGGAATTAATCATGGTGATTTAAGTTTGTAATAAAATTGTTTGTGATATTTTATTCATACAATTTATTTCACCATCTTTACAATTTTATAACAAACTTAATTGTGGTTATAACCCTCTCTCAACTCTATAACTCCGAAACACGAACCTTGATGAACAAGGCCACTGCGCGGAGAAACAAATTGAGCACGGTACTACCAGGGATGTGGTGGGGATCAAACTCGGAACCTCTCGCTTATGAAGCAAGCGCTCTACCACTACACCACTACCGCATTTAAAAATCCAAAAGAAAAATTTTTGAAGATTTAATGTGAAACCGCATGTTAACACTAATACATTAAGAGAAATTTCATCCTAAATAATTATATATTAAAGCTAAATGAAAACCAAAATTTAAAATCTAACAACAAATTATATAAACATAACTAAAAAACGTAAACATGAAAGAAAACAACACATGCAAGTAGTTATTTTAAATTGTACATTGAATAATCAATTTTGTATTGTTCCAATAGAATCATCAATCTGCAATAGAAAAAATCAATCTCCAAATTTATAGTTTTTGTGTAATTAAGTAAAATATGATCGTTGTGAACCAAGTGTATATGTAATTTACAGAACAGATATTAAAAATTCCATACCAATGCTTCTTGATTTAAATGTACTAATCCTCAATCTTTACCAGTGAGTACCTCAATGTAAAGTATTTTTTTTACGTAATAAAAATTTGTTCAACTTCTATTATTTGCTTGGCATATTTAGGTTTAATCTTAAATTTTAGCTATTTAAAACATTAATAAGCGTTAACAAACCCCCAATATTTTCTGACTCTAACTATATTTTCTGTGGAACAAGCGGTTATTAACAACATTGGAAATCAGCATTAAAAGTTGAAACTTATTCAAAACGGCTAAATATTTGCCTGTGTACCAATGTTCACCCTGTATCAATACTCATCCTCTCCCCTATTTATATATCACAATACTAATCCTCCATATTTAATCTTTAACGCCGTTTTACTTTTGTTTTTAAAGTAGTTTTAACTAGTTACAGTCTTTTCTAAACTTGAAAAAGCGCATTCTCAAAATGCATGCAGTCATTGGAGAAAGATCTAACAAGTAATTTAAAACTTTTTACCTTGGAATGTATCTATTACTTATTAGTTTAAATATATTAGATAAATTATAATAGAAATATTAAGATCATGTTATAATAGAAGTTAGTATAGAAAATAGTTTAGCAATTTATTTATTACATTTTTATTACATTCATTTATTTATTACATTCAGGTATAAAGTAAAAAAGGATCACCCCTTTTAATTTTTAAAACTACTTTCATTTTGTTTTGGTTTTTTTTTAGCTTTATTTTTTAATTTTTATTTTTCAAATAATGTAAGATATTTACTGGTAAATTATCTAATACCCTCTTCATCTTTTTAATGCTGATTTTACTGATGATTTAATACATTCAATTTAAAGGCGTTTTTCTAAAAGGGTTTAAGTCAATTATTTCTGAAGTTGAGGTTTGGCAACTTTAAATTAAGCTGTGGAAAACAACTAGAGGATTGTGTAAAAAGTCAGGGAAATCATACACAAAGTTGGCACACCCACTATATACACTAATTATGTAACAGACTGACCATAACCCCTATTTCAGGTTGCTTTCTGCTAGTGTATATTATTATTATTTTATTTTTATTAATGTATTTAATTCAAACATGATGAATTTACAAATAGGTACAAGGTGTATAGATACAAATAAATAATATAGTAAATATATATAAATATATACGTATTTATAAATATGTGTATATATATATATATATATATATATATATATATTTATATATATATATATATATATTAATATATATATATATATATATATATATATATATATATTTATATATATATATATATATATATATATATATTAATATATATATATATATATATATAATATATATATATATATATTATATATAATATATATATATATATAATATATTAATTTTAGTTATATATATATATATATATATTATTTAGCCAAAAGTACAAGTTGTTTTATGGACAATGGCTACCAGAGGATGTATAAACTCACCAGATTGCTTCGGCTACATTTGTAGTAACTATACCATTAAAAAGCGACAGAGAAACATCTCTGATTTTGTTGAAAAGGTGTATTTTGCCTATTTTGGTATAAAGTTAAGCGATCAAGATTAGTCATGGGGTCCACACAAAAATTTTTTAGGTAAAAGGTAAAAAGCAGTCAAAATGGTATCAAGGTAAAAAGCAGTCCTTACGTTATGGAATACCAATGGTTAAAAAATCATAGTGATGACTGTTATTTTTGTTCTTGCGATGTACAAGGTTTCAATTTATAAAACAAAAAGGATATTTCTTGCCCTAACATTCAATCAACCATTCACCTTATTCCTCATGGACCTGGAGAACCAATACCCTTTCCTCCAGATTCTTTAGATAATATTTTAGATGATCATGAGATATTGGCTCAGCAAGGTGATAGTGAAGAAGACAGTGATTACTACAATCCTGGCACAACCAATCCCATTCCATTCTCACAATCTGAACTGAACAATTTAGTTAGAAACCTTGGTCTTCCTAAAGACTCGGCAGAAGTTTTAGGTTCTAGATTGAAAGATAAAAATATGTTGGCCCCGGGTACATCCTTTTCTTGGTATTGATCAAGGGAAAAGAAATTTATATATTTTTTCTCTCAAGAAGGTGACCTAATATTTTGCAGTGATGTTCCTGAACTTATGGCATGTTTTAAAATAGAATATGCTTCTGATAAGTGGAGACTTTTTATCGATTCATCAAAAAGGAGCCTTGAAGCAGTACTTCTGCACAATGGCAATAAGTATGCTTCTATGCCAGTTGCACACGCAGTGCACTTAAAAGAAAGTTACAAAAATCTTGAACTGGTTTTAAACAAAATCAGCTACTCAGACCACAAATAGACACTGTGTGGGGATTTAAAAGTTATATCTATGCTGCTTGGTCAACAAAGTGGCTATACAAAGTTCCCTTGCTTTCTCTGTGAATGGGACAGCCAAGACAAAAAGAAGCACTACATAAAAAAGGTTTGGCTCTTAAAAAAAACCTTAGAAGTAAGGTTAAAAATGTTGAGAGAAAAAGTCTTGTGGATTCCAAAAAGGTGTTACTTCTACCACTTCACATTAAATTGGGGCTGATGAAACAATTTGACATTGCCAAAAGAAGGGGAGACTTTCAAATATCTTTGTTGGCAGTTTCCTGGTTTATCCAAGGCAAAGCTAAAGGAAGAAATCTATGTTAGATCAGACATTAGAAAACTTATGAGAGATCCTAATTTTGTAGACTAAACGGAAACAAAAAAAAAGGCAGCATAGACATCTTTCAAGTTGTTACTGGTTGTTGAAACAACAATGATTCAAACTACAAGACCATTGTCACAGGCATGCTCAACAACTTTAAGAAGCTGAGCTGTAACATAAGCATTAAAGTTCATTTTCTCTATTCACATCTTGATTACTTCCCTGCAAACCTTGGTGATGTATGTGACAAGCAAGGCAAAAAATTTCAACAAGACATCAAATGGAAAGAAGATATCAGGGAAGATGGAACGTCAACATGATAGCAGACTACTGCTGGATGTTGAAGAGAGATGATCCTGAACGAGTCCACAGCAGGAAAAGCAATAAAAGTAGCTTTGACAGAAAGCAAAAACATTATTATAAGGACTTATAGGCTGAAAGAGAAATGTAAGTTTCTTGAAATATAGTTTAGAAGATGATTTACACATAAAATAAAATTATATAACGTTTGAAAAATGAGAAAAATTGGTCGAATTTTGTTATTTTACCCAAAAATAATCCCTTTTTTTGTGAGAAAACCTGACGTAATAGAAAAAATGGATTGCATTTTCGAAATTGCACTGAGAAATACATAAAAAACAGTTATCAAGTTTTAAACAACTTTTTAAAAATATTTTTTTGCAGACCTGTTTTTATAAGTTAATAAAATTATTAAACCCAAGAGAAAAAGAAGAATAACCTGATTTTCCACCAACCATATTGACTTTTTTCAAGAACTTCTACTTCTTCATCAGCAGAAATTGACAGCTCTTCTTCATTTTGACTGTTGTAAGCACTGATTGATTTATATATTAGACCTAAAGAATTTTTATTTATATTCAGAAAAATTTGGTAGCACAAATTCACACAATCAACTTTTTTTTATATATAATTTAAAAAATTTAAAATTTAAAATTTAAAATAAAATTTGAAATTTAAATAACTTTTAAAAGGCTTATTAAAAGCATAAAATGCTACAAATAGTAACCTTTTCCTTTATCATTAATAACGGAAACCCAGTTGTAAGAAAACTCTTTATTTTTATGTTTTAAAGACTCTAAACGAGTTGCTGGTGCCCACCCCTGTTTTCCAGAATTGCATGCAACAAACCACCAACCTATAAATAATTTTGAAAATTTAAATATATAGTCTTATTTTGCAAATTTATTTTTAAATTTACAAAAAAAAAAGTTAAACATGGTATTGAGTAGACCCTAAATGTATGAGTACAGGTATCAAAGTGTATAATGATGCATGAAACAAGGTTGCGGTAAACAATTAAAGAGTACAAATTTTACAACAATGTATTTAACAAAACTGTAACACTAAAAATTTTAATAGTACTGGAAAAAATTGTGGTAAAAAGTAATGATTGCACGCAATAAAAAAAAATTTTTGTAGTTGGATTTGAGAACAAAAAATATTTTGCACTCAACTTTTATTTGCACTCAACTTATTAAAAAATTGATATTGCAAGCGTAACAATATATTGCATTGATATTGCAAACGATATTGCTTCTTTATGAAAATGATTTTTAAGCGTAATTTTACATTTATACAATGTAATTATATACCTCTATCATCTTTTTCCATGACTGTCACTAATTCTCCAGCAACTAAAGAGACTTCACCAAGACCTGTCCCTAGAAAGTCTTCTACAACTTTGTATTGCTCATCTTGTGCTTTTTGCTTCTTATCACTTAAATAAAAATATTTAAATAAAAAAAAATCAACATGTGTGTAGTAATAAAAGGGGCCGAACATAGAAATTTTTACAACTTCATACTATAGAATGTATATATATATATGCAATATACATTATATACTTCTGTATATATTTGCTAATTATTTACATTTATTATTTACTGCCATAAAAAATGCTTATATATATATATATATATATATATATATATATATATATATATATATATATATATATTACTATATATATATATATTACTATATATATATATATATATATATATATATATATATATATATATATATATATATATATATATATATATATATATATATATATATATATATATATATATATATATGTATATATATATATATATATATATATATATATATAGTATATATATATATATATATATATATATATATTTATTTGCATTCACTCCCAGCAAGGTTGCAAGCAACCACTATTAAGTTGGGAGTTACTAGGAAAAAAAAAGAACAGAGTTATAGAGCAAGGAAACGGTTAACAGAAGACTTGAAAAGTTGAAGGTTATATGAGTCAGGAAAACATGAAGATGGGAGAGAGTTCCAAAGGATTGAAGTGCGGGGAAAAAAACTAGATGAATAAAAGTTTTTAGAGCATGCAGGGAGAGATACAGTAAACGAATGAGACTTAGCTGAATGACGAGTAAAACGAGAATGAATTTTAGTTGATGGAACTACAGATGATAACTCCTTTGAGCAGTGACCATGATAGTATCTGTAGAAAAGAGAAAGAGATGCAACTTTACGACGATGGGAAAGAGGTTCAAGCTTAGCAGATAGTCCAGGTCCAACAACATTTACAATGCGTTTTTGGACCTTGTCAAGAAGAGAAAGTGAATCGTTAGAAGAACCAGCCCAAATATGACAACAGTATTCTATACAGGGACGAATAAGAGATTTGTAGAGGTAGAGAATGGAATCAGAAGTAAGGAAATGGCGAGCACGATAAAGAGAAGCAACGTTAGCAGAAGCTAATTTAGCAATCGATTGTATATATGGTTTCCATGAAAGGTCAGTAGTAAGCAATAATCCAAGAAGACGTAAAGAGGACGACTCAGTAAGAGGATTGCCATTCATTAATATAGGAATGTTGACCATATTACGGTAGTTGTTTGCAGTAAGCAATTAGGTTTTTTTAGAGTTGAAATTCACAAGCCACTGTAAACCCAATCTATTACTGAAGTGAGATCAAATTCAAGATCAGCTGCTTGTTCTAGGCGATCGAAAAGAGAAGACTTTTTGTCAAGACAGGAGTATAAAGTTGAGTCATCAGCAAAAAGAGCTACTTTAGATGAAAGGTTGTCAGGAAGATCGTTTATGTAGATAAGAAACAAAACAGGGCCCATGATAATAAACCCAACTTATTTAAAATTAAAAAGCATTTTACAAGATATTATTGCATAATTATGCAACAATCATAAAAAGCCAAACGAAAATATTTTTAATTGATATGTTTTACAATAAAAATCCATTTTTAAAAAATATTTTAAAAATTTTATTTTCACTTTTTATTATCTTCAAACCTGATAAGTTGATTTGAAAAGTATTACGAATGCATTAAAAGTAAATATATAACAGCAGTGGTGTAGTGGCTAGAGTTCAGGCTTCAGAACTGAAGGTCCATGGTTCAACGCCAGCTTTGGCCATTTCCTGGTTAAATGCTATTCTGCAGTACTCTGTAATAATATCATTAAGTTTACACAGAATACTTCTTGAAGCAACTTTTATTCTTTTAAAGTTAAACAAAAATAACATTTAAAATATTCTAAATTCTGGAAAATATTTTTTAATCTATTACATTGTTACATATTGATTTAGAACAATGTTTAACATAAAATTCTATATGTAGAATTAGATTTTTTTTTAAAGCATTAAATGTTTAGATTATCTTGTTAAAATCATTAACTATCATAAACCTATGATTTTAACAAGCTGTTAACAAGCTTAATTAACAAACCTAACAAATTGTTAACAAACATAAATAAAAAACCTTTAATTCATCATAATATTTGTAAAAGAAATTAAAAGTTGAAACTGAATATTAAAAGAAATTATAAGAAATTGAAAACATAAAACCCCTAAGGAATATTAGCTATTGAACTTACAGAACTGTCTATGATGCTCTGAAGTCAATTTGTAATGAAATTTAATAAAAAAAAATTTCATTAGCTTTAGAATTTAAGCATTTGAAAGTTTGAGAGCAAATATAATAAAATTAAAATTTAAATATCCTAACAAAAAACAAAAAAAATGTTTTAATAATCTTGTTGTGTTAATACCGATTACTGCATCACAATCTTTTTCATAATGGTCAATTGTATTTTGTTTAAAATGCTATAAAAATATAATTTTTATAGGATTTAACGTTTTATAATTTAGCCAACTTATTACTATTTTATTTTTTAACAGCACTACACCATTACAATATAATGTCCTTTCCACAATATGGATACCAAAATGTAATGGTCTAGTTATATAGTTTCAAAAACTATTATTTTGGACAAAAATTTTGCAATGACTTGTCATTCAGTAAAGCTTCATCCTTTTACTAAAACCATGCTCAAAAAACTTTTATTTATCTAGTTTTTTTCCCTTGAACATTGATGCTTTGCTTTAAATGTCGATAATTAATAACTAATAACTTAATAGTAATAAAACATCTTTTCTTAGTAATAAAACATCTTTTCTTTTTTTTTTTTGATAAAAAAAAATTTCAAAGTATTTTGAGTTTTAAAAGACATTAAAAATACAAAATACTTTGAAAGTATTTAAAATACAAATAATTTGAAAGTATTTAAAGAATTTTACAACATTGCTTGCTATATTCATTAGCTGCTGTTGGAAACAGTCTAGAACAACCTCCTACTTATTAATTTTATATACATAACATTTTTGTAACATATATTAATTTTTATTTATTTGAATAAGATTTTATAAATACTGACTTGGTACCAGAGGATTTATCTACATTTCGATCAACATTTGTTCGTTTATCAGTGCCCCATAAATCAAAAAAATGAAAAACCAAGGATGACTTGGAAACCTCATCTGGTAATTGGATAATTTTCTAAAGAAAAATATTTTAAATATTCTTTAAACAAGTCAGATTTAAATGAAAATTTAGTTTCATTTAAATCTTGTGTAAAGAATATTTAAAAATTTAGTTAAAATTACAATAAAGTCTAATTTCAAAAAACAACAAATATATATTAAATTATAACTACATTAATAAAAGATTTCTACTGTATTAAACAATTAAAATTAATAATGAATCTATACTAGGTAGATTTTTATATGTAATTGACTATTTTTTTAAGTTAAAAATTAGTACAAAGTCATTTAATTGTCCAATGCTGTGCTGTGTTAATAGATTATTGTTTATAATATTAATTTGCTATTTTCGATATATAGCAAATACATAGAGCCAATATTTAAATTTATGAGCAAACATAAAGAATTTTCAATACAAAAATAAAACCCTCAATAATACACCTTATATAGTCTTTTGAAAATGATAAACGGCTTTTGAAAATAATGGTAATTTTAATATGATTAAGAAAAAGTGTACATTTTTAACTTTGTTGTTTAAAAATTAAATAAGGTTGCTTTAAAAGCATTTCTTTTGAACATAAAACTATGTAAGAAAAATATTATTTTTTTAAAAAATTGAAAAAAATATGAAAAAACAATTAAAAAAAACAATTATAAATTAGAAAAAAATCCTACAACAACTACATTAAACATACCATACAAAAGTCTTCAACAGCCTTACAATCTTTTTCTATGCCAATTTTTTTCAAAATTCCCCAATGAAACTTCATAACTAAAAAATTTAAAAAAATTTATTTTATTAAACCTCAAGTAATTTCCTTTAGTAATAAAAGTTTTAGAAAATATATCTGGTTTAGAAAAATGGTCATTGAACCAAAAAAAATATTAGAAACTATTTAGAGAAGATTAAATGTCAACTTTTAAAGCATTTTTAAATAATGGAGTTTTTATTTTTTATATGACGACTTTAAAAGATAAAATAGACATTGTCTTGAACAGCAGCAACTTAAAATTGCTAGTTTAGATGAGCACTCTGATGTCACACTGAAACAGCCTGCTGCCGGGGGCTTCAGTAAATACATCGACTGACAAATAGCCTCATTTGCAGAGGAGTGCTTCTATATTGACTGAGGGTTTCGGATGGGGCAGCAATCTTTTCTTTAATTATTCTTTTTGTTTCTTCTTTCTCTGAAAACGATGTATGCTATACAGATAAGCAAAACTAATGAGCATAATAGTTTACTTCATAAAAGTTTTACCAATATAAAAAATAATAAAATAAAGCTTGTTTTTTTTAACTATTAGAAACTTTTTTTTCTCTAATAATATTTTTTGTCACATGTGCATATGTATCATTAAAAAAAAATTAAGTTTATTTGAAATCTGCTAAAATAACTTGTTTACAAAACAAGTTATTTTAGTTTAGAGTTTTGAAATTATGCATACCATTAAAATTTAAAATAAGCAAAGTATTGGATAAAATTATCAAATTTAGCTATTATTAAGAGTACCCAAGTTAACTATATTTGAAAAAAAAATTTCAATTTGCAAATATTAAGTACCTTTTTACAAAAAACAGAACCTAATATTTAAAAAGTACAATTTTCAAATAATAAGCACTCAAAATTGATGAAATTTTAAAATACTACAACTTGGCCCTTATTGATTATGCAATAATCCATAAGGGCCAAGTTGTAGTATTTTTACAATAACAACAACAATTAGCAAAAATTTTGTGAAACGTTGATTATGAAAATATATGTGAATCAATTACAAAAAAAAATAAACTTAACTGCACCACACATAAATAACTTGTCTGCATATAAAAAATTAAAAATTGTGCAAATTAATAAAACTAAAAACAAGCTTTATTTTATTATTTTTTATATTGGTAAAACTTTTATGAAGTAAACTATTATGTGTAATATTCATTACACATCTGTGTTGTGTTTGGCAGAACACATGCACCTCTCACATTCTCCTCGCACGCACAGTTCACGAGTGCTAAAATTTTATTTTCTAAAAGTTAACCAAAAACTTTAAAAAAAAGTGCAGCATCAATTTATGCAACACCATCATAATAATGATGTAATGCAGTATTAGAATAGCTCACAATCGAGAAAGTTCAGGTTCAAATCTTAAGTCTCTGGAAGTACGGTAATAATTGAAATTCTAGTTGATCTTATAAATCATGACTAAATAATTTGCACTTGCTCAACTTCAGGTTTTAAAACAATTTGTAAACAATTTACAAAATATACAATCTAAAGATTTTGTCTTCTTACAAATCCATGTCTAGGCGTGTACAAACTGGTTCAGCAACAAAATTTTATCTAGAAAAAAAAAATTAAAATCTATTCTTGCATTTACCAACTTCAAAGAAATGCACATCAAAGTAGGAAAATTTGACTTTAGTCACTTTAAAAATTGTTGTGCAAAGTTAAAAAAGAAAATTAAAAAAATATTATTTTTGAAAAGTTAAAAAAGAAAAAAACATTTTAAAAAGTAAAATGAAAGTGCAACAACTTCAACGAGAAAATGAGTGATTTTAAAGATAAATCATCACCATTGAACACTTAGAAATAACAGCCTAAACCAAGATAATAATAAAATTTGAATTATTACTATAAATTACATAAAAAAAAAGATTTTAAGCCATAAAAAACTTTTATTTACTATTCAGCTCTTAAGAGATCTTAAACTTGAACCACTAGAAAGTTTAAACTTTCTAACCTCCATGTTTCAATATATACAAGAAAAGACCAAATTTAATCTTTTCTGTGGCAGCATAAATTGCAAAAACTAAACACACTAAAAAATTTTACTTACATGGCATAGTTGGAATTCGATAAGATTTAAACATTTCAACTAAGATTGCCTAAATAAAAAAATAGGATCTTAGTTCAAATAAAAAAAAGGATGTTAGTTCAAATAAAAAAATAGGATGTTAGTTCAAATAAAAAATAGGATGTAAGTTGAAATAAAAAATAGAATGTTAGTTTAAATAAAAAATAGAATGTTTGTTCAAATGTATTTATAATATAAATATATTTCATTATTTTAATAGCATTATTATAATTAACATACATATCTTTTAATACCATAAACCTTTTAATATTATAAATTATATTATTAACATTGCCAACATTGCATACTAATTTCATTAGGCCTAACTGTTTATGAGTTTGTTTGAGAACTAGTTCTGTTAAATATCAAGTCCTCAGAATTAGGGAAAAAAAAGTCAGCGATAAATTGCTGACATTAAACTGTCAGAGTTTGAGATCAGTTCTACAAAAAAAATAGACATAATGAGGTTACCATAATACATAGAAACAAGGTTGCCAAATTTTTGCCAAACTCAAACATTGGTTTATTTTTCATATACATTATTTTAAAAAGTATTTTAAAAATGCCAAAAAGTTACAATTAAAAAATAGAACCCAAGTTTAATAGTAATAGTATGGAAAGAGATGTTAATAAGTGAGAAGAAAAAAAAAAACAATGCTGCTAACGTTCTGTACTAAAGGAAACATTGAGATTAAAAATTAAAAAAAGTAATTTCAATGTGAACAAATTTTAAGGTCAAATAAGTGTGTTGAGTGATAATGATAAAGCTATGATTGATGTTGCCATTCAGTATTGTCAAAGATATGGTCTTCCACTAGATTCTCTTGACATTGGTAATCTGGTAGCCTAATAAATATGAAAACTCCTTTTGAAAATAGAGTTACTGTTAGTTCAGGTTATCCTGCTACTGGTAACATGTAACCCAGTATAACCTGCTTCATGTCCTATTGCCTTGTAGGATACGCTTTTTTAGGCAAAGACTAGGCAAAGCTAATTTGAACTTAAAAAACCCACTGCCTTGGTTAAGGCTAGAGGCATTGGTTAAGGCTAGAGATATTGCCTTGATAAAAATACTCATCTTGGGCAGATGCTAAATACATCCCGCAACTATCTTGTAGAAGGCCGCTTAGGCAAATAAGTAAGGGGTAAACAGATACCATCTGTTGACCAGCCTCACACCCCTTTTTCATCTATTAGATTGGCACAAATGTACTTATAATATATTGTAAGTATTATATCACTGAGCCCTTTCTCTATATCCTTCAGCCAACATTGTTGTTATTTGTGACTTTAATGCTCATCACACTGAATGGGTTGGCTCTAGTGTCAGTGATACTGCAGGTGTTAAGACCCACAACTTTTGCCTTTCTCAACCTCTAACACAAATAATCAACTTCCCGAATCGATTTCCAGACAATCCAAATCATTTACCTTCTCTACTTAACTTATGTCTTGTTTCTGATCCTAGTCAGTGCTCAGTTTCTCCACATTCACCTTAAGGTGCTTCTGATCACGGTTTGATCACTTTATAACTATTATCTTATTCTTCTTTATAATCAGAATGCCCTTACCATCGTACCTCTTACAACTACCTTAAAACTGATTAGGAAATTTTCCATGATTTTTCTTTGTGATGGCCATTGGGTAGAAATCTTTCGTCCTCCTGCTGATAAATGTGCTTTTTATGTAATTTCTTGGATTCAGGCTGACATGGAATCCTTTATTCCTCCTCAATGATTCCAAGTCAATTCTTTATTCCCTCTCAACGATTCCAGGCTTCACACTTTTTCATGGTTTACCTCTCATTGTGCTGCTGCAATTTCCAATCAAAACCACTTACATTATATCTATCAGCAAAACAACTCTACAGAAAACAGACATCTATTTACTACTGGTAAAAACCATTGTAAAAAGGTTTTGTCTAACACCAAAGCTCAATATTCTCAGGTCACCAAATCTCATATTTTATTTCAAAAATTAGGCTCTTGCGACTTCTGGAGAATCTTTAACAGTATCTATAACAAGGGTAAATCTGTTATTCCACCTCTCTTGTATGGTCCAGATTTTGTCACCACACCTAAAGACAGAGCTGAACTAGTTGCGATATAGCCAACAAACAGTTTAATCTATTGCCTGACCTTTGTATCACTTCCTCTGTATCTATACCTTGTGGTGTGGACAACATAGTCTTGCAGAAGTGTTCTCTGGAGCTGTCATCTATACTTTTAAAACTATTTAGTAAGTGCTTATCAGAGTCTTATTTTTTTGAAGCAGCATCTATTATTCCTATTTTCAAAAATTCTGAAGAGCAATCTGACTTGTCTAACTACCATCCCATTAGTCTTCTTACTATCGTAAGCAAGGTTTTTGAGTCTTTAATTAACAAACACTTTATCTCTCATCTTGAATCTAATAACTTACTTTTTGATCATCAATAAGGATTTCAATCTTCTCGTTCTACTGTAGATTTTTAAACGATAATAAATGATAGGTTTTACCGTGCATTAAATAGATGTGGAGAGGCTTAGTCTATCGCTCTTGACATTTCTAAAGCTTTTGATAAAGTTTGGTCTTTGTCTTTAGGTGAGGTGACAAAATCTGAACCATACAAGAGAAGTGGAATAACAGATTTACCCTTGCTACAGATACTATTAAAGATTCTCCAGAAGTCACGAGAATCTAATTTTTGAGATGAAATACAAGATTTGGTATCTACTCCATAAGCTTTATATAATTCTTCTTATGGTGTATCAGGTAACATCTTTAAGATTATTGAATCCTTCCTTACCAATCGTAGTTTAAAAGTTGTGCTCGATGGACAGCACTGTTCTTCGTATCCTATAACTTTAGAAGTTCCTCAAGGTTCTATCCTTTGTCGTATACTTTTTTAAATCTATATTAACAATCTCTTAAAAATTCTCATATCTAAGGTGGCATTGTTTACAGATGATATTACCATTTATTCTTGTCTAAGAAGATAAGAAGCCAATACTCTCTGATTGCTCATAGGGGCATTTTAGCTTGAAAAAGATCTCACTTCTGCTACAGCATGGGGCTCTCAGTGGCTGGTGAATTTTAGCTTAGACAAAACTCAATTTTTTTCAGCTAATTGTTATCTCAATAATATAGATCTTCCTATATTTATGAACAGTAATGTACTGAATGAGTCATCTACCCTTCATCTTTTAGGGTTAACTCTTACTTCCAATCTTTCTTAAAAACTGGTATTTCAATTTGTTTACTGTTCAACTTTTTTTAGAAAATGGTCTGCAACCAATTGTTATTATATCTGCAGGTTAAAGTCAGGTCAGGTTTTCCTGCTACTGGTAACATGTAACCCAGTACAACCTGCTCCATGTCCTGCTGCCTTGTAGGATACGCTTTTTTAGGCAAAGGCTAGGAGAAGTTAACTCCGAATTAAAACACCCCCTGCCTTGGGGCTCTTGGTTGAGTAAAGGCTAGAGATGGTGTCTCGATAAAAATACTCATCTTGGGCAGATGTTACATGCATCCAGCTGCTGTCTTGTAGAAGGCCTCCTAGGCAAAGACTTAAGGGGTAAACAGATTCTATCTGTTGACCAGCCTCGCACCCCTTCCTCATCTATTAGGCTGGCGCAGATGTATTTTTAATACATTGTTTCCAGTTTAGGATGTTGAACGCTGGATCTTCTTGACTCAATGCGTGGGTATTGCTTGTGTCACTATTTTTATGACTGGGCAACTCATTCTATTATCTCCTAATGAGGGTACAGCTCTAAAACTCAGTTTTATGGTTCTGAGGCCGGCTGGTAGTCAGGTTTCCCGAACTCTGTGGTAGCTCTCAGAGAGGCTGATTCCATCAACAGCCGAAAAATATCAGAGTACTAACAGTGCCATGTTGCGCATGGATGGTGTCCCTGTTTTTACTTTTGGTGTGCATTGCAGAGGCCACATTTGGAGCCCTTTGTTACGGCTTAGGGTTTATTAATAGTAATGAGGCTATTGCTTAGTTGTTAAATAGTGTACTGAGTACTATCTATACTTGAGTCAAGTTCTTTATAAATTTAAAATGACTAAAGTACCTAAAACTAAAAAACACAAAAAACCATCGTCATCACCAAGTTCTCTAAACCTATCATTTACTAATATTCGTGGTCTTCGAAGTAACTTTTCTTCTGTTGAGTCTTATCTCTTGCAAAGTTCACCAGACCTACTTGCTCTTTGTGAGACTAATTTGAGTTCGGCTGTCCCATCTTGTGATCTTAGTGTTGATGGTTATCTTCCTTTAATTCGTAAAGACTCCAATAATCACATGCTTGGCCTGGGCATCTACATTCGTAAGAACTCACCCATTTGTCGTGAAACTAGGTTTGAATCTACAGACTATTCATTTATGTGCTTTCGTTTAGCACAACTTCACTCTATTGCCTTTCTCTTTGTTCTATATCGCTCTCCTTCATCCCAAGATTGCACTATTCTTGATGTTATTTCTGATCAAATTGACCAAGCCCTCTCTCTTTATCCATCGGCCAATATTGTCATTGTTGGTGACTTTAATGCCCATCACACCGACTGGCTTGGCTCTAGTGTCAGTGACTCTGCTGGCGTTAAGGCCCTCAACTTTTGCCTTTCTCAATCTCTAACTCAAATAGTCAACTTTCCAACTCGTTTTCCTGACAACCCTAATCATTTACCTTCTCTACTAGACTTATGTCTTGTTTTGGATCCTAGTCAGTGCTCAATTTCTCCACATTCACCCTTAGGTACTTCTGATCACGGTTTGATCTCTCTAAAACTATTATCAAATTCTTCTACTTCATCAGAATCCCCCTATCATCATACCACATACAACTACCTTAAAGCTGACTGGGACTCTTTCCGTGATTTTCTTCGTGATGGCCCTTGGGTAGAAATCTTTCGTTTTCCTGCTGACAAATGTGCTTCTTACATAACTTCGTGGATTCAGGCTGGCATGGAATCTTTTATTCCCTCTCGACGATTCCAGGTCAAGCCTCACTCTTCTCCTTGGTTTTCCTCACATTGCGCTGCAGC